GCGGCGTACTGGTCTTTATGAGCAGAAATCAGGTGCTGTAACCAGTTGGTTGTGCCGCTTTGACGGACAAACTCGCGGCTGCACAAATTGCATCTCGCTACGCTACCAGCTTCCTCGAAGTATGCCCAAACTGGCGATCTCTTGGTCCGACTAACTTTCGTTTTTACAGGCGGCAGCATTGTCACTGCTCTCCTCGCCAAAAATCAAACTAACTGTAAGTTTTTGACAAGAACTGAACAAATTAGGAGGCCGGCAGCCACACTCACAGTTTCGCTACAACCGAATTAATATGAAGCTTTCCGGTTGTTACACTTTCCGGTTACGCTGACTAGTGCAGTGAATGCGCGGGATGTAGATCTACGACTACGATCGAGTACCAAAAATGATCAAGCGCGCAGTGATTGTACGGACCTACGGCTTCATGCACGTGTACTTCGACGTTCATGTACTTGTGCGCATGACCTGATGACGCGCGTGCATGATGCCATATGCATCGTCTGCATGTACTGACGTCGTGACGCTCTCGCACTGTACAGTCATAATCGTTATCGATCATAACGATTATCGATTTCATCCATAACGAGTGATATACGAGTAATCGGTATAACCGTTTCGGCCCTACTCCAAACGCAAAGATGTGACCACTCGTCACTTTGCACAGCGCAGCAAAGATGAAAAGTTCAAAATCGAAGTCGTCGATCAATGGAAGATCTTGCCTTTTTCAGCTGCCTCCACTCCGATGTCTCCTTGGTAGCATAGGAGAATAGGCGAGATCTCGTCGCGGCAGTCGTGACGTTATGGGACGACTACAACGCGGAGAAAAATTCAAAATGTTCATGCTTTGCCTGTACGCGTCATTCCGGGGCATTCTCGAGAGCCAAGGTGATAACAAAGTACCAACGCCACCGCGGTCTCCACCTAGATTCTAGGGAAGGCACCAGTGTAAATCTCGTACTAGTAACAGCAAAGACGATCAGGGACCCGGAGAAGCTGCTCCGTGACATGGGAGAATGCGTCGATCGACCTGCCACTTTGGTTGGTTCCAGCCGTGATGAATCGAGCGATGGCGACTCGGACTGAGACACTATTCCCATCAAATCGATCTTGTAGATATTGTACACATGTCCATTGAGCGTGGTGAAGTGTTTCTCTTCCAATAGAACACCTTTGTTGAGCACAGTAACTCCTTGAAAAGTCATGTGAAAAAGTCACGAAGTTTTTGTTTCCGGAGTAAGTATATGGATTCCCCCATGCCATAATTATGTGATCTGTAGTTCTTGTACTGCCGTACTAGATTTGTACCGCAGTTGTATGACCTAACGGCATGCTTGCTTGGCTTGGGAGAGTTTTCCGTGCTTCATGTGCTTTGCCTCTTCAGTTGTGTTTTCAGTTGTGTTTTCCTTCTCTTCAGATTTGCAAGTAGTACTATCTTTAGTTGTCTTGTAGACATTATCAGCTGTCTCCATCTTTGTGAAATGAATTCCTTTTCACTCTTGGCGCAGAACCATCTAGGTAGACTGCGTGTCATTGACTAGCACAGTCCAGTGAAACCTGTCTAAGACGACCGCTCAAGGGACCTTCGAACCGTGGTCTTTGTTACCAGGCGGTCTCCTTACCCAGGGTCGTTTGGCTGGAAAGAGCATTCCTTGATTCTGGTTCTAGTGGTCTTGTAGGACAGGTGGTCGCCTTATCCGAGTGGTCGCCTTATCCGAGTGGTCGCCTTATACGAGTGGTCGCCTTGACAACGTGGTCGCCTTGACAACGTGGTCGCCTTATCCGAGTGGTCGCCTTGACAGGTTTTACTGTATCTTGTTTGCACTGCGCAGATTCACACTGTCTTGGGAATGGATGTGTTCGCCCAAGTATAGACTACTATCAAGAGTAGATAAACAAGAGTGTGCAACTCCGGATCTCTTCTGCACAATCTGCAGATACCCCCGCCCGCGGCGGAATTTTTTGTTGACGTCACCTTTTTTTCAGAAGAACGCGCATTTTGGACCAGAGCAGTGTGAGAGCACGTGCTGGGCACCGACTTTGTAATGTAAAGCCCGGCCAAGTGCACGAGGCAAAACTTTCCAAAAGACTCGCAGCGCGTGCATCGTCGAAAAGATTACGTCAACAAAAAATTCCGCCGCGGGCCGACCCATCTGCGAGTTGCACACTCTTGTTTATCTACTCTTGCTTCTATGCATTGGTTACTTACCTGCTTTGGATGGATAACCTCGCAACTACACAGTTCCCGTGAATGGATAACTGCTTCCGTATTTTACCAATAATTATAAGTCGATCCGGTTACAAGCCGATTCCTGTGCTTAGGGCCTTGATTTCCCTGTTCAATGGCATTCAAACCCTGATTGCAAGTCGACGACTCCCCTTTTTTTAGCTTATGTTATACCATATGTCTGCACCTTTAAAGCCACGGAGGTATATTCGATTATAAAGCCAGTCTCAGTTATCAGGCCATGGGCGTCATAAATGAAATGGCATATGAAGTATGTTTTGTAAAAATGAAGGAATAAGCACTACACTACCACACTTACCGCCCAGCAGGAAGGGTGAACAAGTGGATTTAGATTGAAATTTCTGTGAACTTTGATTTTTATGGCATGGCGCAGTGGGTGAGTCATTTTGCATCTAAAATAACTAGGAAAGCAGGCGTGTTTCGAATATAAGGCCATGGCTTTAAAGGCGCTGACATACGGTAAAAGGCCGGATAATATATGGCAACTTCATACATTGCATGCATCGCTACCCAGTTCTGGAATTATCAATACACTTTGTCAGCGGAGGACAATGCCCAGGAAGCAAATTGCTACCAGTAAAACAGTGCGAGGTGATCTAGATTTCAAACTGATTATGGTTTATATTAAAGGCAGGCAGGCATAGTGGGATGGTCTAAGACTAAGACCATGATTGAGAAACAGAGGGTACCAGGTTCAATTCCTGCTTGAAAGCGGACGGATTTTTCCAGCCGTGCTGCAACCCGCAAATAAGAAACATGGGTGCAGTGAATGGGACTTTCGGTCTTTGACCACTTTACTGGTGGGCTGATCTACTCACCTCGCACCGCTTTAGGAGATGTATCTGCGCCTTAGATCTTGGCAGGGTGGTGGCGTTCCTATGGATACTGCAAACTCAGTCTAACTCAGTCTCAGGGGATCTGTGACATTTTTTCAATGGTTTAGTGTAGAAGCCGCCAGCTGAAGAGCCAGGTCCGGCTATATCCAGCAGGGCTCTGGAATCAGAGCCTGCTCCAGAGCCAAGTCAACATGGGGAGTAGCGATCTGGTGGAGAGGGTGTGTGGACCTGATTGAAAGAAATCATTGCGGCCTGGTACGCATTTGCCTGACAGTGATTAGGTTCCTTTGGTCAGCATGTACGTATATTTTAACTACAGTAAAACCTGTAACTAACGACCACCCTTTGGGGCCAGAAAAAAACAGTCTTTAGTTAGAGGTTTGTACCACGTGACCATATACTTGTAAGGATCCCATCTCCGATAGGTACATGTATGTCGAAATGCAGCTAACACAATTCCCCACCACCTGCGCACTGTCATTTCTCCTTTGAGAAGTAACATCGATCATAGAGCGGTTTCGATGCGCTCTCCAAGACGTTTCCTATCATGTTTGCTCATGACAACACTTGAAACTATGACAGGTGCAGTGCAGCTCACAGTCAAAATGAGCCTGCGTTCATTTGTTCACCTATAGTATCGAAAGAGTCCATTCAGGACTATAGAAATTCATCAAAATTTCGAAGAAGCTTAGAACAACCTTTGATTTCTTGCATCGCGATCGTCAGTTATGGGTCAAAAATTGACAATGGGACAAGACAAGGCGGCCGCTGGTCGCGCTCAGCAGGTAGTTGCTAGTCACAGTGCGTTTTGAATGTGAGACCGTCCGTGCCTAGCGAAGTAGTCTGCAGTACCAGGCTGGTCGCTAGTCACGTTGGTCTTTAGTTACAGGTTTTACCAAGAGTACATAAACCAGAGTGTGCAACTTGGGATGGTTCCTGTGGGAGCTTAATTCGTGCACTACGTCATTTCTGACGGCATGGTAAGCCACAGGTACGGTGAAAAGTTGCGTCACCAGTCGCGGTGGCGCAGTTCACTGAGTTTGTCCTGATTTCGGTTTTTTGAGACGGATAGCCTGGTGACTTTACTTGTCGGTGGATGTACAGCGTACACAGTCACACAAAACACCGAAATCCTGAAACAGGACGTCTAAAATCAAGCAAACTTGGCTGATTTCCGGGCTATGAAACATGAAAATTTGAGCTGTACGCAAGTCGCGGCTTGGCTGACCTCATCAGGGTGACGCAGTGCACGAACTGCGCTGTTTCAGATCAGATATGCACAGTTGCACACTCTGGTTTATGTACTCTTGTTACTACTGTACTAGTAAGCTAATTTAAGTCAGTGTGTCCCTGCCTCTAAATGTGGTGCGAGGCTAAGCAGTGACCAACTGACCTCCAATCATAGAACAGACAGTCCCTGACGGTTCCTATCCTAGAACAGACAGTCCCTGACGGTTCCTATCCTAGAACAGACAGTCCCTGACGGTTCCTATCCTAGAACAGACAATTCCTATCCTAGAACAGACAATTCCTATCCTAGAACAGACAATTCCTATCCTAGAACAGGCAATTCCTATCCTAGAACAGACAATTCCTATCCTAGAACAGACAATTCCTATCCTAGAACAGACAATTCCTATCCTAGAACAGGCAATTCCTATCCTAGAACAGGCAATTCCTGACGATGGACCAGGCCCGAAAAATCAGTGCAATAATATAAATTCGTTGAATCACATTGAAGAGACCGTTTTGGAGTGGAGGGGTGAGGTTTCATACATGTCGAACAGACAGTGTCAGGGACTGACATTCTAGAGTCCTCTCAGCTAATCGTTTTTATCCACTGAGGAAAGCAAGTTCATGTATATCATACCCACAAGTAATGTTATCCTTTGGTTGATTTTCTCTGTGTTGATTATCTGCAGTCACCGGTCCACCCAAGATTTCATATGTGCGCCCGGTGCCCCTGTTGCTAAGTGATACTTATTTTAGCGCGCGGTCCTGCTATGGGACCGGGTCATTGCCAATGAATGTGACCTGGTACAAGGACGGCAAACTTGTCTGGTCGTGCAAAGGGCTTGGAGCGTTGCTCTATTTCGGGCGGAAGTTTGATTTCGAGGACGCGGGCACATACACTTGCACCATGACCAACGCCCTGGGCACAGACTCTCGCACGGTTAACGTCAGCTTTGTTGGTGAGCACTGCTTCATTGTACAAGCCCGCCTTGGTACTGGCTAGCTAGACCATGCATGCCATGTATAACTTCACACCATGCGAGATCGAGTATGTGGAGAGAGAGAGAGAGAGAGAGAGAGAGAGAGAGAGAGAGAGAGAGAGAGAGAGAGAGAGAGAGAGAGAGAGAGAGAGAGAGAGAGAGAGAGAGAGAGAGAGAGAGAGAGAGAGGGAGAGAGGGAGAGAGGGAGAGAGGGAGAGAGGGAGAGAGGGAGAGAGGGAGAGATAGAGAGAGGGAGAGGGAGAGAGAGAGAGATAGAGATAGAGATAGAGAGGGAGAGGGAGAGAGAATCACCGGCTGCAACGTTGGTAGCAGTCAAATTATTGTAAAGTGATTATCCATGGTATCCATGGTGATGCTTTCCCTGCTTATATCTGTGCCGTGCAACTACTGTTACTGACGTGCTTGCGAATAGGTCCGCCAACTCTCAGCACCACTCCAGGAAGGCTAGTTGAAAACTCCGTGACCTCGAGATCAGCCCGGCTTCAACTGCAGGTGCCGTCATTCGACGGTGACCTTGCTATTGACGAGTACATTGTGACATGTGTACCCAATGTCACCAGCCACGGACTTCCCAGTGTGCTCTCTGTCTTCTCTCAACCGTTTGGCCAAGTGACAGGCCTTCATCCAGCAACTGCATATTCATGTTTCTATCGAGTCGGCAACGCTATGAAATTGAGCGAGGATAAACTTGCCGTCACACTTGTGACCAAGAGCGAAGGTGAGTCCCTTATTCCCCTGCGTGCACACACCTGTACACACGTGTGCATGCATGCACCTATGTAGGTACACACCATATTGTACCATGTATACGCCCGTCGCAAGAGTAACACGCAAACCTGCAAATGCACTGGATGTGCACCCACAGATTTACTCACACACACACACACACACACACACACACACACACACACACACACACACACACACACACACACACACACACACACACACACACACACACACACACACACACACACACACACACACACACACACACACACACACACACACACACACACACACACACACACACACACACACACACACACACACACACACACACACACACACACACACACACACACACACACACACACACACACACACACACACACACACACACACACACACACACACACACACACACACACACACACACACACACACACACACACACATGCACACACGCATACATACACACACGCATACATACACACACATACACACACACACACACACACACACACACACACACACACACACACACACACATACACACACATACACACAATACAATACAATTTGCCCATCCGGAGATGATAGCAGGTCCCAAAGGGACCAACAGTGTTCAAGTCACGAGCAGAATCGGGCGTGGCGAGTCAAGTCCTGGCGACGGCGATAGCGCTTTCCACAAGTGCAAACGAAGTCTAAGTTGACGGGCTCGGTCGGAGGAATGATGCTACATGCTGATTTCCACTCTCTGCGACCCTGGGCAAGGTGGTACCAGTCCACTATCTGGTGGTCCTTCATGTCGGACACAACATTGTCCCGCCACCGCTTCCGGGGCCCATGACGTGGCCGGGTCTTGTTCAGTTCGCCGAAGAGGAGATACACTTTGGCATACGGGAGTCATCCATTCGAGCAACATGGCCTAACCAGCGGAGTGGACACGTTTTAAGTGTCTCCTCGATTGGCTGTACCTTGGCTCCTTCGAGGAGAGTGGTGTTGGAGATGTGCTCCTGCCATTGTGTTGCTCTGTTTACTCTGTTTGCTCTGTTTACTGTGTACCATTACTGTACCATTGTTGTACCATTGTTGTACCATTGTTGTACCATTGTTGTACCATTGTTGTACCATTGTTGTACCATTGTTGTACCATTGTTGTACCATTGTTGTACCATTGTGCACCATTGTTGTACCATTGTTGTACCATTGTGTACCATTGTTGTACCATTGTTGTACCATTGTTGTACCATTGTTGTACCATTGTTGTACCATTGTGTACCATTGTTGTACCATTGTTGTACCATTGTTGTACCATTGTTGTACCATTGTGTACCATTGTTGTACCATTGTTGTACCATTGTTGTACCATTGTTGTACCATTGTTGTACCATTGTGTACCATTGTTGTACCATTGTTGTACCATTGTTGTACCATTGTTGTACCATTACTGTACCATTGTTGTACCATTGTTGTACCATTGTGTACCATTGTGTACCATTGTTGTACCATTGTTGTACCATTGTTGTACCATTGTTGTACCATTGTGTACCATTGTTGTACCATTGTTGTACCATTGTGTACCATTGTTGTACCATTGTGTACCATTGTTGTACCATTGTGTACCATTGTGTACCATTGCTGTACCATTGTTGTACCATTGTAGTACCATTGTGTACCATTGTGTACCATTGTGTACCATTGTTGTACCATTGTTGTACCATTGTTGTACCATTGTTGTACCATTGTGTACCATTGTTGTACCATTGTTGTACCATTGTTGTACCATTGTTGTACCATTACTGTACCATTGTTGTACCATTGTTGTACCATTGTGTACCATTGTGTACCATTGCTGTACCATTGTTGTACCATTGTTGTACCATTGTGTACCATTGTTGTACCATTGTGTACCATTGTTGTACCATTGTGTACCATTGTGTACCATTGCTGTACCATTGTTGTACCATTGTTGTACCATTGTGTACCATTGTGTACCATTGTGTACCATTGTTGTACCATTGTTGTACCATTGTTGTACCATTGTTGTACCATTGCTGTACCATTGTGTACCACTGTGTACCATTACTGAAGAGTATAACAACTTAGTGTTCGTTTGGTACAATTTGCACTGATCTGAGAGCAGAGCAAGCACATGGAGCAGCGTGAGCAGTTTGTTCCCTGCCGAACGCGATGGAGCGCGCATAGCAGTTTTGTGACGTTGACATGGAAATCATGGCGCCCGAGTTCATCGGGGTGTTTTTTCGATTTTGCGGGGAATTTGGAAAAAATGACGTCAGAATCTGGAAACGAAAAGGTAAGCAGCAGCAAAAACGAATCTGCTCTGCCTGCTCCAACTAAACTAAGCCTGGAGCAGCCAGAACATGCTCCGTTCACTCGAGATCTGGTGCAGACCAGCCGAACGGGCGTGTTCCAAGTAATCCTGTTCTAGTTCAGGTGCAATTTGTACCCGAGACGAACGTGCCCTAAGTCAGTTTATCTTCACAACTAGAAGGTTAGGGGAGAAGCAGATTCTGCTACTCCTTTGTTGAACGCCCCATCCCGTATTCAACATGTCAAGAGTACTCATTTTCTTCTCAGTACTTCTGAACTAGACTTATCACTGCAGCACACAACCTTTGTCTGAACTGGTTAGCAGTGAGAAGGGGAACTCCCCAACAGCGGACTACCGGTATTATCCCAACCCAGCATGCATTGCCCAAGTGCTCTAACGAACAATTCAGTGGGGGCTGCATAGCGGTGACAATATACCGTAAAGTCTTGTATAAAAGCCGCGGCTTCTATGACTTTCTTGGTGAAATTTTGCAGGCTTCTATATGAGACAGGCTTCTATACAAGACAGGTATTTCTATGTATGTCAACACTAAAACCAGGCTTATGTGTGATTTGATGGGCCCAAAATTGCGGCTTCTTTTCGAGGGCGGCTTCTATTCAAGTGCGGCTTTTACACAAGACTTTACGGTAGGTGCATACTTGACGTTGTATGGTCGTACATGTGTATGTGCACCGTGTGCAGTTCCAGAGCCGGTGGACTTCGGCATCATCAGCGTGGCTGCACGCACAGTCAACGTGTCTTTTCGAGTAAGTGCACCTTTCACACTTTTTTTCACATTTGGGTGCTCCCTGTAGCTCCATCTCAGAACCAAAATGGTCTTTGCGTAAACCGCCACAACTCAAATTAGCCCACCATTAGTCGCTGCATGTGCCGCTAGGGTTTACCGGGTGTTAGCGGCCGTCGTGAGTGCCGTTCGGGAACGGACACGATAATTTACTTACTTACTCTACTCAAATTTGCACTACTATTCACTATACTGTGAAACGGGTAAAGTTTGCGACGATAAATGTTTGCGTTTTACAAATTGAGACTGGTTTGCGCTGGTTAATGTTTGCGAGTCGTTCTACAGTCGTTCTACACAGTCGAGGCAGTCCTTGCACTGAACTTTACATGGCGCGAGTTTGCGTTGTCAAAGTTTGCGATTTGGGGCCTCTCGCAAAATTCGCAAACATTTCTACGTCGCAATAGTTACCCGTTTTACAGTAAACTATTTTTTTAATCCCTCGACGTTTTGATCTTACATCATGATCAGTAACAATGAAATGGTAAGTAAGGAAGGTATTTGTATCACTGTCAGAAATAGCCATGCAGGCACGCAGGTGACTAGCATATGCCATTCGAGCACGTTGATGATAGGAGAAAGATGGACATTGAAAACAATAGTACGTAATGAAATGTGCTCCCCACACCGGAGCTCGTGCTTTTCCGCTGACTGGCTTGACACTTGACTGACTCACAACTGCCATGAAATCATTACCGAAGTTGCTACCACTCTCTCAATAGTACTGTTAGGTACCTCCTCCCGTAAAATCTATCTTTCCCAAGCTGGCCTGCATGCACCCCGTATAAACTCGTACTCACCTTTTGTTCCATTGGCATGGGTAGCTACTTGCGCGCCCATATTTGCCATAGCTACCCAGGCCCGTTATCTTGCATTCTCCCTCAATCGATCTCGCTCTCGCTCTTCCATAATGTAGTCGTTTCCGGTTCATCTTTGTCTCCGTCTCTTTGTATCTCTCTAATAAATGTCTTCCCACCTACCCGTGCTCGTTGTCCGTTGTCTTGGGAGTATCAACCTTTCCGTACTCAACAGTACATACGACCAAAATATACAACTCGTACGAGTAAGCTAAGCTTCACGAGGGTGTTGTAAAGAGTACGGTATGTTGCACTCCAGTCAAATTGTGGCCACCTTAGCAGAATGCTAACCCGAGTAGCAGCTGGAATACCACATCAACTTGACAGTACCGGTTACACATACCTCTTTACTGCTTATACCCCTGCACGCATGTGTCGAGTCTAGTCTGCGTTTGCCAACGGACAAAGGGAGATACGAAACATTGCAATGATTGTATAAATATGCTGAGTTCACATGGCGCAAATTGTTGTTTGTTACCAAACAGAGGTGGAATGAACTAGTCACTTGCGTGGTGCAATTTTATCTTACCAGTGCTTGTGGCCAGTCTGTTGTCTTGTCATTCATGGCTGGATGCGATTTATTTTAGTCCTTCAGAGGAAGTCTCATGAACAGAGCGGTCTCATAACGGCAGGAATGTGTTTTGTGTTGCCATTGTGTTGCCATATGGTGCGGTGGTATGTGCAGTCGATTTTCAACCGGGAGGTTGCGGGTTCGATTCCCGACGATTATGGCCATACATGCCTTTCTTCTCTTCCTTTGACTCCTCACTTTTCTTCCATTCTCCTGGGTGGCTACCAACAGCCAGTGCATGCCAGAGTATGTGGTGTGAGGTGTGTGCGGGGAAAAAATGAAAAAGGACAAAATAGGGATTCACTGGCCAGAAAAAGTCACCGTGAAGTTCAAATAGCTGTAGGGTGTAGACCAGGCTGTATAGTGGTGGTCAATTCTTCAGCCTTGGAAGCTGTTGAATGGTGCAATCCCAGCACAAGTTGCTATGGCTTCTGCTGTGGCATTGCTATCATCGCCTCTGGCGATGGATGTCAAAAGGTCAAAGTTGTGTATATGCGTATGTGAGAGTGTGTGTGTGTGTGTGTGTGTGTGTGTGTGTGTGTGTGTGTGTGTGTGTGTGTGTGTGTGTGTGTATGTGTATGTGTGTGTGGTATATGTGTGTGTGTGTATGTGTGTGTGTCTTACAATAGCATTTTTGACAAGACACACACAGTAGACGGTGTGTGCACTCTGATCGCCGTAGTCGTGTGTTCTTGCTGGATTCTGTTGCAGCACCTGCAGTTCAATTCTGACCAACTCAGCGCCTATGTCATCAGGGTCTCTGCACCTGCTTGCACCAGATGCCAGTGCTTTGTGCAGAATTGCACGTTGAATGGATTAGTTAGGTTACCTGTAGGCAACGGTAAGTATTGATAATTACACCGTTGGGAAAGAGGGGGAGAAATTTATCTATTATTTATTCGACATCTCCTGGCTCGTCATAAGACTGCCAATATTAAATTTTTATGAGAAGCCGGGTGGTAGCCAATCACGGAAAACTAAAATATAGAGATAGAGGGGGGGGGGGGGGGAGGAGAGATGATAACCTCACTATTATTTCTGGAGCAGGAGTACCCGCATCCCTGCTGTCCTGGTGCATGTGGATGTCGATTGTAGGGGCGTGGCGCACACATCTCTGGTGTGGTCACGTCAATTGTACCAGCAGGGCACACCTCATGACCTGTGATGTGGTGACCATGCACCACCAGCAGCCTTACAGCCGCCATTTTGCCTATGTTGCCTATGTAGTACATAACGGCCATTTGTTGGTGTGGTGACCCGACTATGCTGACAATAGTAATAGGTTTTTCATTTTGACCCGACGAGACCATACGACGCTCGCAGATCACAGCACGAACAGTTCACCAGCCACACTCCACGAAAGCAAGTAGTAGTACTACTCCCTCCATTCTGCACTATTCCTTTTGTGTTGATATGTCACATGTGTGAGTTAGTTGAGTGTTTACACCTCAGTGCGCCAATATCTTTTCTATAAAATAGCATTATTCAGCTAAACCCCTTCATTCAGCATCTGCTTCTCCTCTGATGAGTTCCCCGTTATTATCTCTATGGAACGAAACAAGACTTGTCAGGAGTACTACTACTTGCTTTCGTGGAGTGTGGCTGGTGAACTGTTCGTGCTGTGATCTGCAAGCGTCGTATGGTCTCGTCGGGTCAAAATGAAAAACCTATTACTACTGTATTTGACGGACCTATTGAAGATGGCACAAAGAATTATGCTGACAATACATGAGCTACACGCCCGAGATTGTGGACGAGAAAGCAGTAAAGGATGTGTTTTCTTGTCAATATTTCCATCCAATCATGATGCGATGGCATGGAAGAATGTAAACATGTCCTAACATTTGTAGAGTGTAGCGCTCGAAACCTTTCATATACAGAGCTCGCATTGTGCTTGCTTAGCACTGCATGTCTGCTTCACCTGGCTGGGTATGAGGTTTCTACAACCATGCTACATTGCCTATGTTTGCACTTCCACTGCTCTAGACTCTGCTTTAGTAGAGGTAGCCTTTGACAATCTTCGGCCAGCCACCTACTACGAGTTCACAGCGGTGGCCGAGAATGTCGTCGGTTTCAGCGAGGTTGAGGTCGTGCGCTTTGTTACTACGGCTGAAGACCGTAAGTCTATGGTGCTTGTGCGCGCGCGCGCGTGTGTGTGTGTGTGTGTGTGTTAGTTCGGTTGGTGGGTACACTTATGGCTCGGCTGCTTGAAGGTGTAATGTTGTACATGCCCCCTTTGTTGGTTTCAGGGTTCATATACTTTCTATTTGAAGTATACATACCTGCTAACCATGGACTGCTTCTGGCTAGATTAACTCTTGTGTAATCAATGGTGCTAGTGAAGCTTATATCAGATCTACTCTGATGTAGCCACACTAGTAGAAAGCATTGCATTCGCCGGGGACAGGGGTAACTGCAGTCGAATCCCGGGAAGGATACCTTGTAGCCGTCAATCTCTTTTTCTGCACCTTGTCCACGCCCACTTTTCGAGGTGTGGCGAGCCCATAAGTGGGATTATCTCCAAGTCCACCCATAGTTTGGGGATTTCAGGGGATATCGATCATTGGGCGGTTCAATAGTCAATTCAGTCATCTTTCCTAGATTCCTTTTGAATCTCTCTCCCCTCTTCGGGGGAGACTCGCGTGACCAGTCATGGCAGTGAGCAAGTACAGTACAGTACAGTGTGTGTGTGTGTGTCAGGCTGCGATTTCCAATCGATAGGTTGCGGGTTCGATTCCCGACGATTATGGTCACACAAGTCTTTCTTCTCGTCACACAAGTCTTTCTTCTCTTTCTCAGACTCTTCCTGACTTTTCTTTCATTATCCTGGGTGGTTACCAACAGCCAGTGCATGCCGGAGTATGTGGTGTGATGTGTATGCGGAAAAAATATGGAAAAAGACCAAAAAGTAGGGATTCACTGGCCAGAAAAGCCACTTCATAGCTGTGTGGTGTAGACCAGGCTGGAAAGTGGCGGTCAATTCTTCAGCCTTGCAAGATGTTGAATGGTGCAATCCCAGCACAAGCTTCTATGGCTTCTGCTGTAGCATCGCTATCATCGCCTCCGGCGATGGGCATCCAATGGTCTAATGGTGTGTGTGTGTGTGTGTGTGTGTGTGTGTGTGTGTGTGTGTGTGTGTGTGTGTGTGTGTGTGTGTGTGTGTGTGTGTGTGTGTGTGTTTTAGGCGTGTGTCCATCTGTGCATGTATTATAGGTTTGTATCTTTTAGGTGTGTGTCTATATGTGTGTACGTATTTGTGTATTTAGGTGTGTGCATGTGTGCATCCATGGCTTGCTCATGTACATGTAACTATCTATGCACATGCAAAAATCCTCTTGGACCCACTGGCCTCCGGGTGGAGTTTGGCTATGAAAGATATCTGTCTCCGCATAGATACCGTATTATCACACTGTTACTATAATCGGAATCCTGCCGGGATCCATTCTCGCAGCCTCAGTGCTACCTTTCTTGGCAAGTACAGTGAAACATATCTAATTTGACAGCCCCGGAATAGAGTCTACAATGTGGTCCGCGTGTACCGGTAGTGGTCTCCCTATCAGGGGTCGTTTGACTCCAGGAAGAATATCCCTTAGTCCTGGTTGTAGTAGTCTTCTTGAACACATGGTCACCTTATCAGAATGGTCTCCTTGATAGATTTCCTACAACATGCCATGAATGTCGGACATATTACGCTCACAACAGTATTGACTCTATCACTTTGGCCCCACATAGCCTAGCTGTGGAGCAATGACATGTGGTGTAATTCTGTTTCAGTTCAGCTGTGGAATATTTTCCAACGCCCCGCACTGATAATATTTATTTTTTACTTTTCAGCTGGAACTGTAGCAAAGGAAACAGGGTATACTAGTGATGCTGCACTTGGTCAGGTCCAGTAGTGTAGCGAAACTGTGATCACCTTGTACTGGGCCAACAAATTGATTGTTGGTCCTTGCCTAGGAATTCAGATAGCCTCTTCATTAGGGGCCGTCCCCTCCCTCCCTCCCTCCCCCTCAGACAATTGTTGACATGTACATGCATATACAACAAAAGTCGCAAGTGTGTCCTCCTACGGCCATGTACATGTATCAAAGTTTTCTGAAACAAAATTGGTCCCACCCATAACGAAAATATTTCAAAAAGTTTGATATTTATGAACGACCATTTGTAGAAGGCTATCTAAAGGCAAACACCGTATCATTAGGAACCTCATTTCAAGCTATTTACTACATTAACTTACCTCAACATAAAAGGGGGGTTGTCAACTGACAACCGCTCTATTCAGTTGCTATTCACTCAGCGCATGCGCTGGATGAAAATTCTTTTATTAGTGATGTCAAAAACATTATTGATGTTTCGGCCCAGTCACCCATCGTCAGAACAATTTACAAGGGGTGAACCTGGCCTTTTATAACGAAAGCTAGCGAGAGCGTATGTATATCCATGTACAAAACAAATGAAACACACAATAGTCGTATGAAACTTAAACCTCGCCTGAGAAATGCAAACATTATCCAGCGTGCTCCTTAGTGAACGATTCTAACATGATTACAACAACGGGCAGACGTACTCGAGAATGAAGACTGCGTGTTTTCCTTTCTCGGATTCAGTTCCAGGTCCACCATCCGCAGTGCAGGCAGAGACCGTGTCCAATTCCTCAGTCCGGGTGTCGTGGAAAAGGCCGCTTGATCCAAACGGTAAGTTGTGATGTGCTAAAAAGATTCACGATTCGCTTGAGACAAGGTTAGACTGAGTTTTCAGAATCCCACCACCTGCACCATTGATCTTTGCAGGGTGGTGGCTTTCCTGCGGATTGTGATGTGCTAACTACTGGTGAGATATCACTTTTGTTTTCTTCTACTTCAACAGTTGCTTTGGAGGCTTTCCTGTACCTTCAGAAAAGTTTTGTTTTCAAGGCTGAGCGTACCGAAAGAGTGAAAAAAACGTGTTTTTCACTCACAAATATTTTCGTGCATTTTTCATTTGCTCTTGTTCGGGGCAACTCCATTGAACCTGCCATCGTGGCCTCTTGTTTTCCTCGTGGTAGTTGAAGTTGCCTGCCCACCCACCCCAGTTTAATTGGTGTCTTCCGTTGTTCTTCTTGACATTCTATGCCGATGCGTGTGGCATTATGACATATCCCATTTAATACATTCAGTTTTCTTGTTTTTCTCCAGTCTTGGGTCTGACTGGCAGTGGGGCAGGCAGTAGTGAAATAGATTTTTTTGGCTGAATTGTGTGTTTTTTTCCTCTAGCCCGGTTGAGCGGTCATGGCTAGGAATGTAGGGAGTCATTGTTTTCAGGTGCTCCCCTGCTGCCCAGTCACCCATGTTAACCACTGACCATGCTGTTTCTCCTGATTTTGCGGCCCGTTCTCCCGCATGCTGGTGGATCTTTGACTGATTTAGATTGTTTAGTTTTTCCGCTATTTATCTATTAGGTGGTAGTGAGTGTGGTTTTCTTCTATTCATGTCTAGAAAAACCACTACGGTAGCGAGTGTGATTGCTCTGGTAGACCACTACGGTAGCGAGTGTGATTGCTCTGGTAGACCACTACCCCATGTACTGAACAGTTGCTTTGGGAGCCTGAATTGTTGACTTTTTCCCCCTTATCATAACTGCTTCTCTGAGCTTCCTGGTAGCTCCACCGAACTGTTCCTAACCAAGCACCACACTGGACAGCACTGCTCAGTGTTGTCTCTCCCAGGGCCAGTTGCATAGCAGGGGCTGCACAATGTATTTTTGGGCGGTCGGGTCCACCTTCCATGTGGTATACGAACACTACTAAGCTGTAAAAATCGGCAATTGATTATTTGGAATTGTTTCAATGTCCAGCCTCTGTGCATGTCTCTTCTTGCGTGTAGGGGAGATATTATCTTACTCTCTCCGGGGTGGCCTTTTCAGCAAGGCATTTACCTGGAATCCGTCGCACGTCAACGTGCTGGTGCACCAACATACCTTCACTGGTCTGACGGATGGTGATGTGTTTGTAGTGGACATCGCCGCTATGAATGCCATCGGCTCAGGAAAGCGCATCCGCAGAGTTGTCGTGGTAAATGCATCAGCTGTGGTACCCACCTGCAAACTGCCAGGCAATGCCAGAATGCAGGTTCAAGCGAATGAGTCCGACCCACGCATCACTGACACGAATTCAGTCGTCCCGGCGAACTCACCACTATTGTTTGCCTGCCTCCCGGGCTACCAGGTTGGTGGAGATGGGATGCGTGTAGGAGGTGTGCTTATGTGTGGAGACAGTGGTAGTTGGAGCCATACATTTCCACTATGTTCAAGACCTGCTCCTATCAATGGTAAGAATGCATAGCAATTGGACAGGAAAGTGACTTCACTCTATTGGGTATGTCAGAGGACTGTGAAACTACAATGAAGGTTACAACTTGTAGGCGCCGAGCAGGCGCATTGATGGGTATGTAGTACACTATGGGGATGCAGTACGCTATGGAGATGCAGTACACTATGGGGATGCAGTACACTATGGGGATGTAGTACACTATTGGCATGTAGTACACTATGGGGATGCAGTACACTATGGGGATAAAGTACACTATGGGGATGCAGTACACTATGGGGATGTAGTACACTATGGGGATGCAGTACACTATGGGGATGCAGTACACTATTGGCATGTAGTACACTATGGGGATGCAGTACACTATGGGGATAAAGTACACTATGGGGATGTAGTACACTATGGGGATGTAGTACACTATGGGGATGTAGTACACTATGGGGATGCAGTACACTATGGGGATAAAGTACACTATGGGGATGCAGTACACTATGGGGATGCAGTACACTATTGGCATGTAGTACACTATAGGGATGCAGTACGCTATGGGGATAAAGTACACTAGGGGATGCAGTACACTATGGGGATGTAGTACACTATGGGGATGCAGTACACTATGGGGATGCAGTACACTATTGGGATGCACTATGGGGATGCAGTACACTATGGGGATAAAGTACACTATGGGGATGTAGTACACTATGGGGATGTAGTACACTATGGGGATGTAGTACACTATGGGGATGTAGTACACTATGGGGATGCAGTATGCTATGGGGATGCAGTACACTATGGGGATGCAGTACACTTTGGGGATGCAGTACACTATGGGGATATAGCACACTATTGGGATATGGCACATTATGGGGAATAATGAGTAATGAACGAGTGATTGAATATTGTTTATTTGCTCCGGCACTGCACGAGAAGTATGACTTCACGACGGGTATGTACCTGTATTGGCGGAAATGTGTGTTCCCTTATTGTTGTTCCGCTTTGTGTGTATGGAACCAACTGGCGCAGCCGCCTCCGGACTCTCCACGTGTGACCTTGAGGCATCCTACTCGTCCATTGTAACGGCGATAACAGTGTATGCTGTGCTGTTCATCCTGGGTTGCATGGGAACGCTAGGATACCGCAACAGAGGTACTATCTACTGTATAGAGTGTTGTTCACATCTTTGCCATGGGACTGCTGTAAATCTTTTATATTTCATAAGGCTCTGCCATTTGCGAAATCAAAAATCCTTACGTTTACTTTAAAAATCACTAGTCCCACTCACTGTACAGTGATGTATGCATGTATGCACATGACTAGTCCCACTCACTGTACAGTGCTGTATGCATGTATGCACATGACTAGTCCCACTCACTGTACAGTGCTGTATGCATGTATGCACATGACTAGTCCCACTCACTGTACAGTGATGTATGCATGTATGCATATGACTTTATTTGTAGGAACCAGCTACCGACGGCATTTCAAGGATAGTTAGATGACTACGAAAATTAATGTTATTTTCTGTCAGTTTACGAATATTATTTGCTGGTGAAAATAATTGATTTACAGTAAATAGTGGGTAGAAAGTCATCATGGAATGTGGATAACGGTACGAATATTGCCGACAGCATGTGCATAATATATGACCCATAGATGCTGGGTTGGGGGGGGGGGGGGTTGAAACTTGAAACCGACATGGCTGCCCTGTATGGTTATGTGGTGCATGTTTCCCTGTACGTCCTCAGTTCCGCTGCATGCACCCTGCACCTACACTCTAGTGACTTCCACACGACTGACTTCCCGGCGTGTATCCCCTCCACTGCATGTACCCTGCACCCTACTGACCCCATTCACACAGCTGACTTGATGTGTATCTCCTCCACTGCATGCACCCTGCACCCTACTGACCCCGTGTTGTTGCACTAGATACTGCCACTCCCTGTTACACATTAGGAGTACTAGAAGTGATGCTAGAACAGGTGCTTTGCCTCCTTCAACGGCAAACAGATGAATTTCAGCACTAGCAGCATCCGAACAAAGTGTGTCGGTCTCTTTATCCTGAAGATCGAAATGCCTCAAAAACTAGTGGTGATCAAAACGCCATTGTTTGGGAATCCCGCCGTCATTGTTTTCTAGAATGTAGAGCAACGACCAGTAAAATATCGCAGAGCGGTTATGTGTTTAGCGAAACCGACGACCCCAATGTTTTCGCACCCCCCCCCCCCCCCCCCCCTGCGCGCTGTGTTATGCATGTGCATGCACGAGGGTTTTTTTTACTATTGCTATTGATTCATTGCTTTCTGTATGTACTACACAGGTCTAGTGTGGCGGGCGGTGCATAGAGCTGGGCGCAGAATACGCACGCTGAACAATAGGCTTCATCCTTGCAGCTGGGCAGCGAAGCTGTGAGTGTATATCAACAGGAGAGCATTTTCATCATTACTTTGTTAGCAACACTGGCTTTCCAGACAGTCCTGCATTTGTTTTCATTGGAACTGAGCACTTTCCTTCGCCAGTAACATTCCTGGTGATTCTGCAATGTTCAGGCAGATCTGTTCAAGTGATTACTTCGTGCGTTTGGATGTGTCATGAGTATTGCCGTCAGATCAGCGGAGACTATGGTAACCTATTGATTGTACAAGAAACATTTTCAGTAGCTGTCTTGCCTCTGCTATGAATGAATACCTCGGCATGCCGTAGAACAGTGCAACTGGGATTTTATGTACCTTCCTTTTTTTGCAGTGCACAAGTGAAGAGGCTGCGAGTGCACGTGTGAATGCAGTACGACTGTGTTGAGTGGCGCATTCAGTCTCTTGTCTGCTGTGTCCTGTGTGTGTGTGTATGTGTGTGTGCGTACATGTGTGTGTGTGTGTGTGTGTGTGTGTGTGTGTGTGTGTGTGTGTGTGTGTGTGTGTGTGTGTGTGTGTGTTTAGTCGAACACCCGGTGGCGATGGTAACACCAATGGAACTAGGCGCACCCCGTACATGCTCAGCAGGGCGTATCGCATCAGCCGAACATCACTCTCCTCTCTCGTCAGCCGCCATTAGACAATTCCGTGCGCGTACCACCAACTACTGCCATGCAAGCGTCCAGAATAGGAGACAGCCAGCTAGCCAGGACACGAACATATACAAATGGCCAAGACCAGTAGCATCCGGTTGTCTGCGTGTCTTCAGTTTAGTGGTTGAAGAGTGCTCATATCTAGATAAATGCCGTGCCTCTATGGGTGCTAGATTGTATGTCATCTTGAATCTGCTGTTATTTCTGCAAAAAGTATCTGGTTTGCATGAGCCTCAGCCAGACTGATTTGTTTGTTTTTTCTTTTAAAAGAACGCCATTATCCGGCCCCCGAGGTGAAGGTGAAGCCAGCGCAGCTCCTCAAGCCGCTGCATGCATGGGTATGAGATCACGGTTCAGCTCCACTACTACTCTGTGCTGGGTCTTTCTCGTTCACATGCATGTAGGGCAAGTAACTATGTTGCTGTGAAAATCACTGCAATGCCATTTGTACATACATGTACATCATACAAGTACTCAAATCAAGTTCAACCCTAGTTTCATTTGCATCCGCTGGGCAAATTGTACAATACAAAAAAGATCAGTTCAATTCGACATCGTCTGAGAGTGCAATGTAGCGATTCTGCTATGCCGACCATTGTCAGGATTGTCGTGTGCTTTCCCTAGTGTGGCCGGTTCGTTCACCTTGATATTATGATTGCTGTACGGTTCTGACCAACCGCATTTTTCTGGCTGTAACTTGTAAGTCCACCCCCTACTTGGTGCCTCGATTTACCGGTCCGATATCCAATAAGGGCGCGCTCAGACTACCGGTAAAAAGTGACGGAACGGGAAGGTTTCCAAGGTTATTTTATCACGTGTCGTTACTGGCATGGTACCGGCAGAAAAGTATTACCCAGTGCTGCGGCTGCCGCGCGCGGCGGAAATAGCATTCCGGAAGTAAAGATGGTGCTCAGGCTGGAAGCAGGGGAAAATCCCTTCTCCGTGCCAAGGCGAGAGGTGCACAACTATTACATGTACGTAGCGGTAACGTTAGTTTATCGCCCTGGGTTATTGGTAGTGCGAATGTCCTTCACGGTTCAGGGCACGTTCAGACTACTGTCAATCCCGTCAAACCATGAATGGCGATACACCGTGAAGGACATTCGCACTACCGATAAACTAACGTTACCGTTACGTAAGTTTTGCAGCTCTCAGCGCGGCACTGAGAAGGGATTTTCCCTTTTTCCCCAGTCTGAGCACTTTTTTACTGCCTGAATGCAGTTAGGGCGCGTTCAGACTACCGATAAAAAGTGACCAATTGGGAAAGTTTCCAAGGCGATTTGATCACGTGACGTTACTGGCACGCTACCGGCGGAAAAGCTATACTGCCGCGGCTGCTGCGGCAGTTAGGCCGTCATCACACCACGTTCTCCGACTCCCGTTTACGTCTACGTCTATGGTGAAAAAACCAAAACGGGTGGTCGTGTCATCAGACAGGTACAGTTCTTGACGTGTACACGCAGTCAGGTTTTTGGAGAAATTTGAACCCACGTACATTCAGATTCGAAGTACAGGGTCGCTCGGAAAAAGGCTGGGGGAGGTACGCACGTTCATACAAAAAGTCGTATACCCCCCCCCCCCCTCTCCATACCACGTCTACGTCTCCCGTTTCCTCTGCTCCCGTTTTCACCCCGTATACGGATCATCATGCTGTCCCCGGGGAAAATTGCAATTCCGCGGCCGCGTTTTTTCCGCGTTTTTTGCGATTTTTTAAAAGACCGCGTTTTCCGCGATTTTCCCGCGTTTTTTGAACTTTTTTGTTGCTCTACACGTACACACAGTGCACTGTTCGGTCAGCAACGTCTCATCGTGGCGGCTTTTTACTCAAATATCACGAGTGCTTACACCAGAGACTTGTAACTGATTGATTTCACTACATACTCACTGAAAATTGCCGCACATCAATATTATTCACCGCATATTTACCGCATATTTACCGCAAATTCACCGCAAATTATGCCATATTACGCGTACCAGGCAGGCACAGTGGGTTGGTCAAAGACCATGATTGAGATACGAGAGGTACCTGGTTCAAGTCCTGCCTGGGAGCGGTTTTTCCAGCCGTGCTGCTACCCACAGTCAACTGGGAACTTGTGGCCAGGCACAAGGGGTACATGGATGCAGCTAATGGGGTCGCTTTCGGCACTTGTGCCAGTGCCAGTGGTTGTGAGACTTACCCACTCACCCCCACCGTTAGGCGCTGCATCTGCCGCTAGGGTTTATCGGGTGTTAGCGGCCGTCGTGAGTTCCCTTCGGGAACGGATACGATAATTTACTTTTTTTTTTTTTTTACGCCGCGTTTTTCCCCGCGTTTTTTGCGATTTTTTTCCGCAATTTTCCCCGGGGACAGATCATGACAACCGACCAAAAACTCCTTACGTGGACGTAGACGCAGCGCTTTGTACCATGGTGTGATGACAGCCTAACTGCATTCCGGCAGTAAAAACAGGTGCTCAGGCTGAGAGTAAGGGAAAATCCCTTCTCAGTGCCGCGGTGAGAGCTGCAAAACTTACGTAACGGTCACGTTAGTTTATCGGTAGTGCGAATGTCCTTCACGGTTTATCGGCATTCACGGTTTGACGGGGTTCACGGTAGTCTGAGCACACCCTTTTAAACCCGTAGTAACCGTACCGCCGCGGCAGTAACACTTTTCCGCCATTCACCTTGGAAACTTTCCCAATTGGTCACTTTTTATCGGTAGTCTGAACTCGCCCTCGCCGTTCACGGTTTCACGGGGTTGGCGACTTGGCGTTAGTCTGAACACGCGCTAATGATTGTAATTGTGATTTTAAAACAGTGCAGCCTATACTCCGGAAAACATGATCCCTAGGCTACAACAAGACGAGGAGGAAGAAAGTGTTGTGAATCTGACCTGTTGACTCTGACCTTGTCTCTGATGATCGCCAACGTGTGCGTGAAACTCAGAGTAAAACACATTCTTTCTCCTTTCCTTATTTTCATTGATAGACTACCATGACTACAGTACAGATGAAAGACGATATCGGTTCCGATGGCGATGGCATCGCGCCTCCGTACGATATTGCAAACTACATGTATATGTAACTACTTGCCATATCGCCGATTTTCTGATTGCGTTTCCATGGCGACTACAGGTGGTGACGTACATTCTGCTTAGCTCCGTGATCTGGTGATCATGGTGATCATGGTGATAGAGAAGGTCGATCACTGCAGTCGTGCAGACCAATCCCGAAAAGATTGTCTGGGTTCGTGAAAGGGGGCACGCGTGCAAGCCAGCACGTGTGAAGTGCATCGTTTTGTATTCAGTTTGTGTGTGTCAGCTCATAGGAGAGAGAGACTTTTGCTCGCCGAGCTGAAGCGAAAGGATTTGATGGAGTACTGCCAGCAGCTAGTCAAAGGACCTTCGGTACCTTAGGCAGACCCTGACGGAGTTTGGAGGCCAGCTAGCTCTCGGTGAGGAGAGAAACATTCGCGTGGCGATCGACTCTCCGTAAAAAATGCAAGCTACATAGCGTCGACATACTGCAACAGCTACGATTTCAGCTAACTTCTCGATCTGCTGCTTCACAAAGTTCAACTATTTACAAGTCCTGACTGTTGTAGTCTGAAGCTGGAGTCTCATCGCCCACCTACAGGTAGCTTTTGGAGCTGATGGATTTCCCGACTTGGACTCCTTCCGCAAACTCTCGCAACATTACTACAGTGTTTGCTGTGTTTCCGCACGCTCGTGTCGACATGTCATCTATACTGTACATGTATCGGGTCGCGGAGGAGCTGGACGACCTCCGCTGAATCCAGGTTTCCGAAATACTGCCGTCGTCTTCGTTATTGTCGCTGGTGACATTCTCCACTTGCAGGACGTGCGCATAGTTGTCGTCCCGGGGGTAAAGACTATGTTGTCTTTCGAAATAGTTCTTCATCACGCGCGAATGATGTTTCTCATCATGAACTCGTTCCGACGGTGTTTTATTTTTATTTTTATTTTTTATTTTTTACTAAGTACACAACCTACTCGTCAGAAGGGGAGAAGACAACAGAGTATACAATGACAAAACAGCAGGGAGAGTAGGGGCTGCAAAGCAAGCCTGTGCTGGTGAGGCAAGCCCACAACACCGACCTATGGTCTCGGCGTTAACGTGAGCTTGCGCACCATAGCCTAAAAGAGGGGGGTGATTTAGTGCGATAAAGACAGAGAAGGTGAGGTAGAATGGATGAGGAGAAAGAAAGAGAGAGAGAGGGGGGGTGGAGAAAGAATGAGAGAGAGAGAGAGAGAGAGAGAGAGCCTGAGAGAGAGAGAGAGAGAGAGAGAGAGAGAGAGAGAGAGAGAGAGAGAGAGAGAGAGAGAGAGAGAGAGAGAGAGAGAGAGAGAGAGAGAGAGAGAGAGAGAGAGAGTGAGAGTGAGTGAGAGAGAGAGAGAGGGGGGGGGGGGGTGGGGGGTGGGGGTGGAGAGAGAACAAGAAGAGAGAAAAATAGATTCAAAGGCAGTTCAGATGCAGTGAACATCATGCAATGCTTGGGGGGGGGGGAGCTTCAGGATGGAAATAGTTCTGAACTGTTAGAGGGAGTCTGTGGCCCAAAGCCACTGGCTTCGGCGAAGATGGTAGTGGACGTTCGCTTTGAAGGATTGTAGGCCCTTAGGAGATGGTGGTTTGGTGAAGAGGGAGGATGGCAGCGCATTCCAGATGTTGATGATGTTGTATGGAAAGGCGCGTCTTAGGTAGTTAGGAGCGCCTGGAGGGAGAACATTTTCCAGTTGGAAGGGGTGTGAAGCAGACTGTTGGCATTGTCTCCGGGTTACAGGTGCGGCATGGTGGACGACGAGAGGGGGGACCATGGATCTCAGCAGAGGAGGACCTGGTTGGCCCAGCAGCTTGTAGACGAAAGTCAGTGCCGCCACTGTCCGTCGGGCCTCTAGGCTCTGTAGCAAGATGTTGGGTCCCAGGATGTGGAGGGCACGCCTCTGCACTCTGTTAAGGTGTTCAAGGTTAGTGGGAGCAGCTCCCATCCAGACAAGGGGAGCGTACTCGAGCAGGGGCCGGACGAAGCCGTGATACACGGCCAGCATGCCACGGCAGTCCAGAACACGAGCAGCTCTACGTAGGAGGCCAAGACGTGAGTTTGCCCTGGCAGCAACTGACCGGAGATGGGCGGAAAAGGATAGCTTGGAGTCAACCATAACTCCGAGGAGCTTGAGGTGTGGCTGTTGTGGGATGACCTCCCCTCCAAAGTGTATTGCGGGGACAGGCCAAGGCTGCTGTCGATGGCAGGAGATTCGTAGGAGCTGCGACTTGGATGGTTCAAACTTAACATGCCACTTTGTTCCCCATGCATGTAACGCATTAACGGAAGCTTGAAGACTGTCAGCTTGGTGTATGGCATCATCGCGTGTATTGACGCAGGCATACAGCGTGGTGTCGTCTGCAAATGTTCCCATTTCAGACCCTGGAGCCAGACAGCTATCAGCATCATTTGTGTGACACGGCGATGGTCTTTGGTGGGGCACTGGCTTGGCGAAAACGATATCTTCTTGTGCAATATAACATTGATCGGCTGCAGATGAGTACAGTCACTTCGTGGTTGGTCCTATAGGAGGGCAGCGGCCAGGAAAGAGGCAGGACTCATCGAAAACGAAGCGCTCGCAACAAACAATAGCACTCGAAATATCTCGTAAGATTTAGGGCCTATCGCTTTGAGCCAAAGCGCTCACAGCCTTGCCTACTTTATCAAAGTGAGCTCTACATGTTCGTTGACCTCTTCACACTACCCAGAAGAGCGAAACAAGGATTATGTCTTAGCATTTCAACTCCAACAGCAGACCATTACCAGTGCGAGAGAGAAAACTACAAAGGGCTTTGCTTTCTGTCGCATCGTCTCTTTTGCATGCAACTAACGAGAAAACCGTGTACTTACCCTCCCATTCACACGCGAACTATCAAACACGTCCTGTGCTGCATGCTGATCAGGTAGTGCCATGTATGTGTTGGACAGTGTACTCTCAGGTGACATGCCCCCTTTCGAACCCAGACAATCTTTTCGGGATTGGTCTATTCACTCTATTGTGTCATTTTCAGTTGTCTTATTGTATTCACGAGGTGAAAGAAGCGCTGTGTTCAATGCTGTTAGTGCCGTGAACTGTTTATTAGTAGTCCTCGCCGTTGTGTACTGGGACGTGACACCGACAGGGGAAAGCTGGAGTGCGGAGACGTTAGCTGGCAAGCCGCGAAAATCGTGACGAACCAAGTGCTGAAATCTTGGTTGGGACAAATCAAACGTTCAGCATTTACCTCAACCAAGGACCATGCCGTTTGCTCTGTCCACTTCCTGAAGATGGATGCGCTGCCTGCTGGAGACTCTCCTATCTCTCGTAACATCTTCTGAAGCCAGGTGAGACGTCGGGTATAGCGGAGATTAGCGAACGAAATGATGTCGTATGTTTTGAAATGTTTGCTGAAATCATCGCTGTGCAGGGGGGGGGGGGGGAGGGGTTGCTCAGTCTGAATGAGTGCTTCAAAGAAATTCGTGATTATTTTGCCCACGTTAGCAGACATAAACACAGTATGTCTTTGTCCACAATCCGCAGACACGTTTGACACCAGCGATGCTCGTGTATGTTTTGCGCACAATACTCCGTAAGGGGTCATTCCACACTCAGTGTCCTGCTGGGAAGGCACCAAATTGTCCCCGCGGCTTCCTGTGTGGTTGGAGCTGGCAGTTGCGAAATACACTGGACAGGGCCAATAGGTTGTTACTCACAACACGCTTGCCTGCCTGTACAAGCTGCACTACTTGCCTGGTCCTCCGCAGCTGCTCTCTGTGTTGCCACCGCGCCACATCATCTCTACAAACCCCAGAACTCGCAGCGAGCACGGTGCTGTCAGTGGCCATGACCACCAGCTCCAACACCAGCTGCCTGCATCTGCCCCGCTGGCACTGAAGCGCTCGTTCCCACACTGCAGCATCAGCGATTGGAACTCCCTCCCTGCCGCTCTCCTATCCCAGCCTCCCCACAGCAAGAGAATGCAATCATTCAAAACGAATGTTTACCGCCATCTTCGCAGCACAAACTGGCTCTGGGCAGTCGATTCCCTATGAATAGTATGACGCTAAGACAGTTTCTCCCCCACAATCGCTCGTGTTAAGCCTTGGGTTTTTGCATCTTTCTCACCTGTACAGCTCTATCTTCTTCTTTTTTCATTGTTTTTGGTGCGTGTTTTTGGCCGTGACGCCGAGACCTCAGGTCGGCAGAGTCATCAATGCCCCACCATCACTGCTGCGTCTCGGTGCAGCGCCTGCTCATTAGTTGTCACGTTTGTCCTAGTCTCCGTACCATTGTCTTTCCTTATTCTTTTCGAGCTGGTTATGTGAATATAGTAAAAAAAAAAAAAAAAAAAAAAAAAAAAAACATTCTGTGAAATTGCACGAGACTTCGAATAAGATGACCGTAAGCAATTATGTGAGTTCATGCCTGTTGTCAATGTGCATGACAACTTGCGCAACTTGCCAGCTTGCGCAATTTGCCAGCTTGCGCAAACCTATTCACATAGTGCTCACTGGCATTCTGTGAAATTGCACGAGACATCCAATAAAATGAGTGTAAACAATGTGATCCTATGCTAGTTGTCAATGTGCATGACAACTTGCGCAATTTGCCAGCTTGCGCAAACCTATTCACATAGTGCTCACTGGCTTTTAGATATCAATCTTGTTCAGTTGGATTTGGACATTGACCGGTATAGATCTTGTTATTTTCCCCCAACAAACCTTGACTGGTATAATATACTTACGGGATATATTCAACCATTACAATCTATCAGCCTAAGTATTGCTCGTTCGGTTGCATCTTGTATTGCCTAAAAGCCATTTTGAAAATGGAGATTTCTAAATCTCTAAATCTGTATCGGCTCCCCGGCAGCCCCTGATTGACCATGGGGTGACAGGTATCTTTTGTTTCTTTTGTCTGTCGCCTTCGCCGGAACACAAAGGATTCACGTCACTGTATTGAACGTTAGTTTATTATGTACTTCAGAAGTAGCTGAAACGACAAACTCTTTGTCACTATGTTAATATGTACGTGCTGGACGGTATAAAACCGCTGAACCTATTAGCAGGCAGTTAAGAAATTTTGGAGAGAGAGAGAGAGAGAGAGAGAGAGAGAGAGAGAGAGAGAGAGAGAGAGAGAGAGAGAGAGAGAGAGAGAGAGAGAGTCCGCGACAGTGTACAGCGATACTTTGTTTCTTCAGATAATCATCATCTTTACTGTTCTCCTAGCTAGTGTTGCAGTCATGGCTCTTTCAGCTACTCACGTCTGCAATGTCCTGATCGTGGTTTGTCTGCCTCTCATACTAAGCAGCTACCAGATTGAAGGTATGTTATGACGCGCTTAGAAACGTGTTCTGGGCATAGTGGCGAAGGCTTGAATTGAGGGAATTGACTCTGAAAGTATAGTATATTTATTTCAACATCTCAAGACTCGGTGGAAACACCGACCAATGTTAAGAGAGTTGGTGATTGCCAACCATCGGCGATATATACAAGAACGGGGAGGGAAAAGAAAAGAGTGGCAAAATTAACAGCAACAACAACTCCATAAAGAAAGAGAATGTCAAATAAAACAGTGAAAAGAAACAGTGTGTAGAAGTGAAGTGTGTAGGCGGTATTTTTTCAACTATTCCAGGTACTACAGTGTACTCCATGGTTTGCCTTGACAGCCGCATGCTTAGACTCATACAGTCTAATCTGCCGTTAGCGACCTCTGCTGTAGGCGAACATCTACCATTAGCGACCGATTTTCCGTGCACTGACGGTGTCACATACAAATTAATCTGTCCAGAGCGACCATCTGCTGTGCGCGACCAGCGAACGCGATTTCATGCACGGTGGCTGCATTCAAATCTGCTGTAAGCGACCGCGACCCAGGTTCAGTCAGGTGCGAAATTGTACTTGCCAGTGCGCTGTCAACTGCAAGGTGTGAAAATGCGCTGTCTTGCAAGTGCGATCGACTTGCCCTGGCACCCCTATATTCTATTGAATATCCAATAAAATGATTTTTTAAATCACATTCTCGTCGATTTGAGCCTTTTGAGTACATGGAAGCATATATGCATGCCCGGTATGCCGGATTTACCATACATCTGCCGTGAGAGATCATCTGCCGTAAGAGACCGCTTTATCTTGCACCAAGGGGCGGTGGCTTACGACAGATTTGACTGTACCTGTCAAACACTGTTGGCTGCTGGCAGCTGAAAAGTCAACAGTGCCATTCATTATTTTGCGATGTTGACATTTGAAAGAAACACTATGGATGTCATGCGATTTCTCTGTTCAATGGCTCTGCTAGGTGCTTATGACAGCTGCATGGTGAAGCGCATGCTGAAGGCTGGGATTCCGTCGAGCAAAGCACCGCAGTACGAGCAGCGGGCCCTGCTCGCCAATATGTCCCTGGCACAGGTTGCTGACATTCCGGTTAATGTGCTTGCCTACGTGTTGCAGTCTACGCGAGATGAAGCCAGCGCTATCCAACAATGTATCGGTAAGCCATGCTTAGCAGGGAAGTCAATGTAGACCTGCCGAGTCTCTCTCGCTGAACCTCCTGTAGCCAAACACTGGCCACTTCCAATCATGTATCTCGTATGCAGATACCCAAGGTTAAATCTTCAAAAAACAAAACACATTAATTTTCATGATTGTCATTTGAAGTACGTCGTCATACATGCAAGTTCACAACCCGCAGCTCTTCCCTAGTATCCTGATACAGTAAAACATGTGACCAACGACCACGCCTTGGTGCCAGAGAAAGCGGTCTTTAGTGGCAGGTGGTCCTTAGTTAGAGGTTTGCACCGCACAACCATGAATGTGAGACCGTCCGTGCCTGGCGAAGTGGTATGTAGTACCAGGCTGGTCGCTAGTCACGGCGGTCTTTAGTTACAGGTTTTCCTATACATATCACTGAGCTCAATGAACTGAGCCAACAACAGGAGCAGTATCCGTTCTGGCAGCGGTCTATGTCCACATTACCTGGCCCTTTCGGTCTAGGGACGCTCGAACAAGAGACGTCTTACTGTGGAGTATATTGGGCTGGCAATAATAGCTATGATTTGGCATGCTGAATTTGGACCATCATTATGCTAACAGAATGAGAAACCTGTGGGGCATGCATTTAGTTATGTTGTTCTGTTATCTTACATTTAACTCAACATCTGTGGTACTAGATCTTGATCTGAGTTTTGCGTCTGGGCATCTAAGATCCAATAGTGGATGACCATCTTGCATTTTTCCTCCATTGGAATGTTTCCCTTATACTAGCCAGATCACACAGATCTCTTGGGCAATGCGAGTGTGGTGGTGATGCGTGCAAGCGCTTCGTGCTCTCCTTCACCTACTACCCACCCTACACCTGAACACGCATATCCCCATTCACACAGCCAGCTGGACTTGCTCCTGTTCTCCCCAAACTACGTGAAATTCGAATGATAAAAGGAGAGGTGAAATACGTTACGAGTTATGACTAACAGTCCACCAAGGTAACGAGATCTTATACAGTCAGATAGTGAGACAACAAGGCACAAAACTGACAGGGATATTAAGACATTCAACGACCTGACACCGAACACCTAGCTCCTCTGAGTCCTCTCGTTATCTCCTTTTATCTCGTTAACTTGGTGGACTGTTAGTCATAACTGGTAAAGTATTGGTCCTTTATTTTTATTTAATACTATTGACTCTAAATTGACTATTGACTTTCATATCTGGCTTGCAAGTGTTGAGTTTCAGAGAGAAAAGAGCAGTACGTGGCATGTGGCCTTAAATTTCCTAACACTTCGAAAATTCTCCGTGAAGTCCAAATTTGAAATTGCAATTATTTATTTATTGACTCTACAGCTGAGTTTTAAACTCAAAAATTGAAGTTCAACACTTACAGTTGCATGGAGATAGGTAGAATTCTTCCACATATTACGTCTCACATATCAGCTGCTGATATAGTTTTGTCTTTGCCTGACGAACTCGGTTCACCAGGCGAGAGAGTACGCAGCAGCGTTTATGGTGGATCACGGCAAATTCTTCTAAATCGATTAAGAAAGGACCAACATGTTACATGTTATCCGTAGTTTGTGTCAACACTAACAGTTATATTCTTAAGAAAGATAATGATGTAGTCTAAAGGTGCAATAGGGCTTGAAAGTGATGACGTCAAAAACGGCCAGGGAGTAGTAAGTTGACATCAGATTTCTATTTTGGATCAACTAAGGTGTGACTTTGCTATAGCCTCAGTATGTGGGTGCATAGCAACCCACTCATGTCGTATGCAGGGGTGACTTTTACTTCGCCACCAGTTGTAACCCCGCCCCCAGTAGCCAAATCAGTCAGTTTCACTGGCTACATCACCTTGCTGTGAGTATGACGGCTTGAAATGTGCTTGGGTCCATACAAAAACTGGATCCAAGTGATCCAGTTTTTGAATTTTTGAAATTGTTGCTATGCTGTGACGTAGCACTTTCCAGCCCTATAGCTGGCACAATACTGACTGATGTGATACTGACCATCAACGACCGGATGTTAAGCTCTATCACGTATTGCTTATAACTGTCAGTGTTGGACACAAACTACGGAAACATAATATTATTATGAACATGTTGGTCCTTTCTTTAATTTTAGTCCTTGGCTCTCCTTCCTACACCGATTATTACGTCATTTTAACCTAATGCCATCTTCTCTGCTTCGTTCAATTTGTGTACGCAGAGGGGAGATCTGGGACTTGCAGTACCTACTCGCCATGTCAGAACGGCGGTCTATGTGAGCTGTCCCAACCTCAAACGGAATACATGTGCAAGTGTCCCAGTGACTTCACTGGCGACAGCTGTCAATCAGGTAAGCCTACATGAAGTTTAGCACAAGTTGCTTACCTGATTGCTGCTCTGACTAGCCCGCCTCCTAGCTCTCCTTGACCACCCTGTCACCCCTGATACTCGCTTGACTCCTCTGTCAGACACTTTTTCTTTCGCAATATTATTTTCAAATTCCTACCCTTTCTTTTCTAAATGCGCCTTATCCATTTGCCTTTATATCATTCGGTAGGCATATGCGGATAATGCCGGCAGAATTCGGTACTTTTTCTGGTAAGTTTCATGCATGTTTGGTATGTGGGTAAAGAAATGGAGCAGAATTCAAGGAATTGCCCGCCATAAGGTTTGTATGGTTCTGCTAATTTCACTGCTTTTCGAGCAGAATCTGCCACCTTTTCGTGCATTATCCGCCAATGCCTACCAGGCTGGCCACCTTGCTGTGGAGTTAAATCCCGACACGGTTACACCACCGCAAACCGGACTGCAACGATTAGGACTTTTTTCGCGTTGGTAATTTTTTTCGTGGACAACAATTATTTATCAGTCAAGTGTCGGTCATCCGGAAGCTGTATGAGCTCCAAAGTTACGAGCAGCTAGTTGCCCCCTCACCATTGCCAAGGAAATACCTAAGTATTTGGGTCATTTGTCAATGTGATTTGACGGGACGATCCGAAAAGCGTAAAAATGTCGAACGTTTTCGTTCTGTTATACAATTTTCTTGTTTAAGGATTCCCCAGCGGCTTTCGCCTATCGAGGGGGGTTTCCAAACTTTCCACAATACCAAATCTGTAAAAGAAGTGATATGCAATAGGTGAGCAAAGAAGGAGAAAAAGACATAGTCTAGGGCAGAGCTCTGCGCTTGAGCATATGATTGTAAGCATGCAGAACTAGGATAATACATGTACATGTAAAATTTATGATGAAGAAAGGAAAAGGACTAAATGTTACGAGTTATGACAAACTGTCCACCAACGTAACCAGATCTTATACAGTCAGCAAGTGCGACCGTAACATTTTGTCCTTTTCCTTTCTTCATCATAACTATACTATTATTGGCTCACCATCCGAGTTCAAATGTAAAATTTAATGATGGAAAGTGTGCCCGAGATAAGCTTCCAAAGAAAACGATGTGACATTACATACATGCATGATTGTATTCAACGGGATTCCACTGCAATGAAACCAATGCTCGTAGAACTGTTTGCGCAGTTCTTGCTTAAATTCGCCTAAACTGGTCAAGGAGGTGATCTTAGGGGGCAGAAAATTCTACAGGATGCTGTATTTATGGAAAGAGAGATTTGAACAGCGCTGTCCCTGGTTTGTCAATATGGTCTGAATTTATTCTTTACAGCACATTTCTGGCTGTGGGTGGCTGAAGCTAGCTATGTCATATACAAGTTGCGGAAAGGGAGTAGTATGCATTTCAAAGTACAAGTCACGGCGTATTTTGAATTATCATTATTATTATCATTTCCTTACTGTACAGCTCATCCTGCCCCATTAGATGAGTTCAGGAGTCTACAAAATGAAGTTGAAGAGCTACGAACGCAACTGGCAGACACTCAAAGTAGAACTCAGGTAAGTGAGTAAGCAATGGAGTAATGCACTCAACACTCGTGTTTACTGTCATTGCTGGCTGACCAGAGTGGGGAGCTGAGAGAGAGAGAAAGTAAAAGTGAGAGAGAAAGGGAGAGGGGGAAAGAGAGACTGCAGCAGAGGCTGAAGGGAGACAATGATAGAGAGAAAGAGAGAGAGAGAGAGAGAGAGAGAGAGAGAGAGAGAGAGAGAGAGAGAGAGAGAGAGAGAGAGAGAGAGAGAGAGAGAGAGAGAGAGAGAGAGAGAGAGAGACAGAGACAGAGACAGAGACAGAGACAGAGACAGAGAGAGAGAGAGAGAGAGAGAGAGAGAGAGAGAGAGAGAGAGAGAGAGAGAGAGAGAGAGAGAGAGAGAGAGAGAGAGAGAGAGACAGAGAGACAGAGAGACAGAGAGACAGAGTGAGAGAGAGAGAGTGAGAGAGGAAGAGAGGAAGAGACAGACAGAGAGATAGAAAGAGAGACAGAGCGAGAGAGGCCGACGGTCGTAGTTAGGGTGATAGAGAGAGAGAGAGAGAGAGAGAGAGAGAGAGAGAGAGAGAGAGAGAGAGAGAGAGAGAGAGAGAGACAGAGACAGAGACAGAGAGAGAGAGAGAGAGAGAGAGAGACAGAGAGACAGAGAGAGAGACAGAGAGACAGAGAGACAGAGTGAGAGAGACAGAGTGAGAGAGGAAGAGAGGAAGAGACAGACAGAGAGATAGAAAGAGAGACAGAGCGAGAGAGGCCGACGGTCGTAGTTAGGGTGATCGTGTCTACTAACGCCCTTGAACGTACGAAATATCATCTACATCAGAGTGAATTCAGCATTCAGGAAAGCTCCGGATTACTAAGTCCGGAAAAGAGTCTGAAAAGCACAATGGGGCTGGCATTGGTGTTGTGTCGGCTTTCTGAATTCGTTTTTTGTTGTTGTCCAATTTCAGTACGATGGCACTGGTTGTAACCGGATGAGCGTTGGTTACAAGTATCAAAGTCTTGTACGCGCCAACGACATTGATGAAGGCCGTATCGCAACACTGCCGTTCAGAAAGAAGCATACCAGCACTGTACTCAAGCTGTCCTATTCTGGTGCTATACGGACATGGGGATCAGGCACAGCTGCGAGGTGGTACTTCAAGATCGACAACAGGGAGTGTGTTAGACCTACGAAAATCGACATAGCAATGTACCAGGGCAGTGGCGACAACACGCACATCCCAGCCGTGCTAACTGGCATTTGTGAGTCAACGAACAGCACTGGAGTGAACATTGCAGCTGGAGATCACAATATCACTGTACATGTCGGAAGAGTTTCGGGTTATGGCATTGGTGATCCCGACTCGGGATGGGCGTCTACATCTATTCTGGAAATTCAAGAAATGTGTCCTCAATACTAACCTTCTCTTCAAGTACGTTAATGTCTATCCCCACTACTTACCTAATTTTGGTTTACATATCACAACCAGTGCACGACGTCCCAATAACGGCTGATATTGACAAACCATGGACAGTGCTGTTCAAATCTCTTTTTCCATAAATACAGCACCCTCTGGAATTGTCTGCCCCCTAAGATCACCTCAACCAGTTTAAGCGAATTTAAGGAAGAACTGCACAAACAGTTTTACGAGCATTGGTTTCACTGCAGTGGAATTCCGTCACATCATCTTCTTTAGAAGCTTATCTCTGGCACATTTTTCATCATTTACATGTAGTATCCCAGTTCTGAAAGCTTACAATAATATGCTCAAGCGCAGAGCTCTGCCCTAGACTATGTCTTTTTCTCTTTCTTTGCTCACTATTGCTCGTCACTTCTTTTACAGATTTGGTCTTATGGAAAGTTTGGACACCCCCTCGATAGGCGAAAGCCTTTGGGGAATCCTTAAAAACGATAAACATTACAAATTACAAGGGGGGGGGGGGGTCACCGTACTAGCCAATCCATACAGTGCCAGTGGATTGGGAGAGTATGAAGGCACTTCTCCCCAGCTACAGGATACAGGTGATTCTTTTTTGGATTTTGGATTGGATTTTTATTTATAGTGGTGACTATAACAGGCAATTGCCTAATAACAATAGACCCACTCGAGGGAAAGATGCAAAAAGATATGAATAATTAATATAATAGACTATTGGATAGGTGATCATGTTCGCATTTTGCATAACTGTTAGCTGAAAAGTCATAAGTACTAGCGTGAAAAAGCAAGGCATTGGGGTAACAGTTTCTTAAAACGGGCCGAGTTATCCACACAGCGAGCTAGAGGGTGTAAATCATTCCACAGCTTAGCACATTTGAAGGAAGCGCCGTGACGGGCAAAGGCAGTTCTGAGCATGGGCAACTTAAGAGTGCGTGATACAAGGCTGCGCGTTGCAAGACCATTATTTAAACGCTCGAACATTTGACTTAATGTGACACTACAGCGGCCTTCTAAACAGCGCCACGTCAGATACAGTAATTTCTTGCAATACATGGATGCCAAACGATCTAGACCAAGTCTCGCAAATAAAGGGCTTGATGGGCTACAAAAACCAGTATCGTACACTGAACGCAAAGCTCGCTTTAGCATTCGTTCAAGCCTACCTAACTGGGTTAAGGAAAGGCCAGCAGAAAAACAATTTGATGCATATAGAAAATCTGGCAACAATAGGCACTTTACAAAGGTTTCTCGGCAAGTCAGCGGAATATTGTGTCGATTTCGGAACAGAATACCAATTTTACTGGCAAGTTTGGTGACCATAGAATCAACTTGAGTCCCCCAAGAAAGATCCTGGTCCAAATGTATTCCAAGGTACTTTGCACATGTCACTTGCTTGAGCTGCACTCCATGACAGTAGACTGCAAATTGGTGGTCAGTCATATGTGGCGTAGACAGGAAGAGCACTTGTGTCTTCCGGGCATTTAGAATTAAATTGCGGTTTGACAGCCAGTTACTAATGACGGAGACAGCTGCAGACAGGGAGTTGCTAAGCGCATTCTTCTGCGTACCGCAAACATACACTAGAATATCGTCAGCAAATTGAATAACTTTCACACAAAACTCGGAGACAATGGACTGGATCGAACGAACATAGAGTACAAAAAGCAGCGGACCAAGAACAGAGCCGTGGGGAACGCCACACATGCAGGGGGAAGGAGGGCTATAGTTCTCAGCAATGTGCACTATTTGGCGGCGATTGGACAAATAGTCGGCAAACCAAACTAGTGCTGAACCAGATATGCCAAGCTCAAACAAATCATTAATGAGCACTTGGTGCCTGACCTTGTCAAATGCTTTGGACATATCCACGAGCACAGCACCAGTAATTTGTCCGGCATCGCGAGCGCGAACAAACGTGTCCGTGACGAAAACTAGAGCGTCTCCCCCGATTCTGATTCGATCCAAGCGATTTCTTGTGGCACTCATCAGGAAGCATTAAAACCAGGTAGTTAAAACTGTATACCGTATTTCCGCAAATAAAAGGCCGTCCTCGTATACAAGGCAGGGGCAGGGGGCGATTGAAAAAATAAAAGACCGTCTCCGATTAGAAGACCGGGCCTACTAAATGAGTCTTTGTTCTTGTGTTAAAAATAGAAGACCGTGCTCAAACTGTGGGAAAAAATAGAAGACCGTGCTCAAACTGTGTAGAAGAAAATGGAAGAACGGGGGTAAAACTGTGTGGCGAGAAATAGAAGACCGGGGTCAAACTGGGTTGAAAGAATAAAAGACCATCCTCGAATACAAGATCGTCCTCGATTATAAGGCCGGGTTTGGTTGAGGTTGAAAAAATAGTAGACCGGCCTACTATTTGTGGAAATACGGTATACCATAAAATGCATGAAAATGCCGCTCACTCTAAGCTTGGTTGACTAGATCTAACGTGAATGTACACTGATTCCAACACTTTCAACAACAAAGCAAGATGTACACAACTGAACCAAGAATCATGGATGTGCATAATAATAATTATTATGTAAAAATTGTAAAGAATACTTCACGTTATGCACACGATTTCGATTGTCTGACCTGATTTTTTTTATAATTCAAGAAATTCTGAGTGTGAAAAAGGTGTAGTGGATACTCTAATGTAATCTCGCTTGCACCTTTTGCCTTTTGGCACTATTGCCATCACATTTTGATTTTGATTTTTCACCTCTTTCGCAACACAGTTTTTTCTTCTCATCCTCACCAATTGCCGCGATGTTTTTTTTTCAATTAGAAAATTGACCGTCTATGGTGATTGATGACTAACCAACACAATGCTATGGCACAAGAGGTTTTGCGCGGTTATCACTTGTACATGCACGCACGCACACGCACACGCACAAGCCCTGGTTGACTTCGTCGACCCAGCTCTCCCTAACACCCAGTTTGCATTCCGCCCTGGACACTCGATCGAAGATGCGCTGGCACTGCTCTCGGACACCGTCCTCCAAGCCCGAGACAATGGTTCTGTTGTAGCAACATGCCTGTTAGATATGAGTGTCGAATCTGGTCGGCCCGGGGTTAGACCCCGGGCCCAAGGCTGCGGTTCGACATGAACTAACTTACTAGGACCTTCACATTACAAGGCGTCCATACAACGGCCCACGGCGCGCACACCACCCCTAATGTTTTTTTTATTAAAGACCCAACAAAGAAAAGCACCGCAGTCGTAACTGCCCATGGCAAAAAAAAACAAAAACAGCTACATAATTATGTCTATAACCACCCTTCAGTCCGGGGTGGGAGGGCGGGAACAAACTGAACGGAAGAAAGGCCACTGCAAAGTGACGGGAATGCGGTCGCATCTTGTACAATGTAGGTACCCCATTCTGTGGAATGAAATCCAAAATGGGAGCGATTTTGCAGCGCCTTTAATAGCGCAAATTGTTTCGAGTTATCCACAAAGACACAAGCTTAACAGCTCTCTTCGGCCGTTGGAAAGCGTAGTACCATACCATTTAGCGTACAGAAAAGCCATCGCACGCCGGTCGCTCGATGGCTTTCCTGCGCCCCTCCCTGACTTCTTGTCAGGGAACCAAGAGTCCATGGGGTTATATATAGGCGATTCACACGACAGGCAAATCCACGTTTACAGGAGAATCACCATGGAGATATTCCTGCGGGCGACCAAAATTTGTCCGCGGGAATCAAAAGTGTCCATGGGCTTTTTGCCCGCGGATGCACTCATCTGCCCGCACTTCAAATAATTAAATTACAGGTTATGAGCCTGTGAGGTCGTACTATCGTACGGTAGACTTGAACCCTGGTTGTTTGATTGATTGATTGATTGATTTTCATACATGTCACGTGCCTGTTGTCAGGTCGTTGCTAGCATTTGGCCAATCAGAGCAGCACCGTACCAGGGCATTATCAGACGATAATGCCCGGGTACGGCGTACCCATGCCCATTAGGAATGACCCCAGGCGTACTACGTACGCTGGTGCACTGCCAAATATGCAACAAGCCATGCCTTTTACGGCAATGACCTGGTACATAATTGGCAGTACTCCAGCGCACGTAGAACACATGGGACCATCCCTAAGGACACCACATGCACTCGCACACACCACACAAAACGAAACTACTTACGTGCACCGTCCAAAACCAGACAACAGCGGGTGGTTACCCACACTGGAACATCTCCGTTGGTGGCAATCACTAGTGGCGTGCCACAGGGCACCATTCTGGGTCCGGTGCTATTTAACATCTATGTACGGAAGCTCCCATTGACAGCAGAGGCCTTTTCTTGCAAGCTCCCGATGTTCGCTGACGACATGACGTTGTATGCCAGCAGACGTACACAAGTTGAGGCCGTCGCTACCGTTACTGATTCGTTATCTGCAATTTCTGTGGATCTAGACGAGCTTGGGCTGCGCATTAATACAACAAAGACTGTAACTTTGATGATTTCTAAGTCTTCTCAACCCCTCTCAACTCCAATCGTTTTTAACCAACAGCCTCTGACTCAAGTGTCTAGCACGAGAATCCTGGGAGTCATTGTAGACAGTGATGTTTCTTGGTCTGGTCACATAGACTTTATCGTTAGGAAGACTTGCACGAAAATTGGCGCTCTTCGACGGTGTTTTCGGCAACTAAGTTTGAAGGCAACACGGCAGTTTATCCTCTCGGTTATCCTGCCTGACCTATTATACTGCTGCTCTTGCTTTGCAATGAAGCTATCCGCCAAGGACCGACAGCGACTCTCGTCCGTTTATCGTCGTTCTGTACGCGCTGCTTGTGGCTCGAAACTACAAGATGACGTCATGCCGCTGTTAGCTAGATTGTCGATTGATCCGTTTGAACATTACCTTATTCGTAGCATTGCTAAATTTATCCATGTTAATCATGTCGTTTTCCCTCTCCCAAATCTGACGGACCTTTTCCCTCAAGTTTCAACCGGCCCTAGGACAACACGAAGCTCTTTTAATGCTGCTATTGCAATATCTAAATTCCGGACGACTGACGGTGTCAATTCCTTTTCAAATCGTGCTGCCCTGTTCTTTAATTCTTTGCCTGTGGAGTGGCGCACCCAGCACCGCACTACATTTGCTAAGCACCTTCAGACCATGCTAAAAGACGCAGCGTCTTTTCAGAAGTATTTTGATCTTCTTTTCAGCAAACTCCCTCATTGATCTGCACCGCCTGTATTGTATAACTGTGTTTACTGCGTTCCTAGTTTAAATTCGTTTTTAAAAACATCTCTTTAATTCTTGCATTATCCCATTATGCCCATGCTTAAAGACGCAGCGTCTTTTCAGAAGTATTTTGATCTTCTTTTCAGCAAACGGCCTCATTGATCTGCATCGCTTGTATTGTATACCTGTGTTTACTGCTTACTGCTGCTTTATTGTTCCAA